GGTCAAGGATTTTGCTAAAGGGGACCACGGAGGGTGGGGGAGTGGCGGAAGGGTAGGGAACAACAATAAGAAATTATGTCACAGTAGATGAGATGAATTTAACCATAATGATTAGAACACCAGAATCATGGACAATCCTGTGTTTTTTCTCATTTCGTCCTTTGTCTTATGTTTATTTGGGAGGGAGAATGTGTGCTCTAGATTAGCAAAAGAATAAACTGTGCCTTTTAAACAACTGTTTTCCTTCCCCTGCAGCATGGGTTGCACGACCCTTTATAACTTTAACCGATGTGCGTTTCTTAATGCCTGATATATTTTGCATACGAACCTCTTTGCATTTCTGATAAATTTAATATAGACTTACCTGATGAGTTTTGGCCTCCAGTTTTGAGTTAAACCAGGAAGTAATGTCGCACCAAACGTGCATTTCAGAAGAAGTTTCGCAGCCTTTCTATTCAGACGACTCACTTTTGTATTGATGCTGGCACAAAGAGATTTTTGTCCCGTAAAGTTACGGAATTTCTTTAGCTAAACATCGCTCTTTTCAAAATAATAAGAAAGGTTCCTAAATCAATAAACAGCAGTCAGGTCAAGCGTTCACTAATATTCATACCAGTATGCGGGGAAAGCGCTTGGTGATAGGGTATCGAGACGAAATGGGACGCCCCTTTTCTCCTTCCGCCTTGTTTTTCATTATTTTTATTTTTATTTTTATTCTATAAAAACTGACTACAGTGCACCCAGAAATAAAATTTATTTGCCCAGCGCCATGAATGTCTATACTTTCAATCTTTGTAACCATGGATAAAGCATTTTAATTTAATTAAAATTCACAAACAGTTTGTGTTGATTTATCACAATGCAGGTATTATTGGCTCCAGATGTGAACGTATTCTGCACACAACAGTAGAACGTATATTTTTATTAAAATCATTTAATAGATTTTAAACGCTGCAAACGTACGAAAATAACACGTTAAAAAGGCAGTATTGCAAATATGTTGAGGTATAAAAAATGCTTGATATTCATTCAGAAGCTATGGGGACAGATATCTTTGTAGACATGCTGGCCTGTTTGCATCCAAATATTGCGCAGAATCTCACGTGCCACGCAAGTCCTTCTTGCGAAACTTAGAGTTCGCAGACAGCCCATAAGATATTGGACATGTCCAAAAGATTCTATGAATAGTCTGCGAACAGCAAAGCCGCAAGCGTAACTTGCTCCCTTAGCAAGACGTTCGCAAGTGATACGTGCGTGGTCCATGACGCACATCGCAAGCAATGAAGCAGCAAGTGCCCTTTGTGAGTTGGGCACGGTGCACGCCCTCACAGCTAAAGCCTCTCTTACAACCCGTCGTGCGTGCTTAGAGATCGTGCGTCCTCGGAGTTCTTGTCAGACGTAGCGCTGTCGTAGGATGAAAATTAAATCGCAGCAGACGAAGTAGTAAGTACTTTATGAGTAGGTGTGTCGTGCTCTAAACGTGGTCCCGCAAGTGGTCTGTACGCCTTTTTTTGGAAGTAGGGAGAAGTAAGGAGCACGTACGGTCTGTGCTTGTGTCGCACACAGTGAGTGAGATAATCTTACGTGTAGGCCCCTATTGCAAGTGAAGCGTACGTTTTCAGAAATCGTACTTACGAAGTAAGAGAAACGTAATAAGCACGGAAGTAGAACGCACGGATAATCAAAATAATATAAAAGGGAGCACCGAGTCTCTTCATCATTCACTGTTTTGGCTTCCAAAATGGCACTTCCAAGAAGGATGCGCCATCGACTTCTACAGCTGCTAATGCTAAAGGAGGCCGAAGATCGTGACGCAATGCTTGCAGTGGTTGCTCGGGATCGCCTGCACTTTTATCGTGCTGCATGGGCACGTGCGTCGTCTTAGTGTGACGCACGTACTTCACAAGTATGGTAGTGGTACTCGCCACGCACTTTGGAAGTAAGATAAACGCACGGAGGAAATGCGCTCATTCCCCTTTTTGTTAACACGTACTGTACATTGAAAGCAAGCTGAAAGTACGAGTCTCTTGCGTGGTAAGTACGTCTTCGTGGTAAAATATCCCGGAATTTCTGCATGTTTTTCCTGCGTAACACGCACGCCTAGCGCACTTACTCAGCACTTTGGTCTTACGTGCTACGAGCGTGCTCCAGGCGTTAAAATTGTCGCAGACAGGTCGAAGCGAAAAACTGTCCGGCCAGTTTTCGGGCTGCGTGCTTTGCGTCGTGTTTGCGTCCACCAAAAAAGTACGTTCCACGTGCGTGTATCTTACTACTTGGCCAATTTTTTGCACGCAAACCGCTCTTAGAAGCACGCACGACCGGTTGTAAGAGTAGCTTAAAGAACGTGCGTCACCTACACGTCTGGAGTAATAAAAGGCGTGCTAAACAATGAACGTCGATTGTGCAACTTGTACAATTTAAACATTTTTTAAAAAATCAGAATTTGCTCAATTCAGCTTTTAATGTGCCTCCAAAAACCAAGAGAAAGAAGCTGAGAGAGCAGAAAACAAAGGAAGAAGAAAGCTGGGGAGAACAGGAGGCAATACATACGTAAGCCGTCAGCACGGCATCACAAGCGTGTGACTCAAGTGTGAAGCAAAATGGAACTACTTTCGCCGTGCGTTGCATTCTTTTCGTAAGTAATGAGTGCGTTTCACGCGCGCGGGTAGCAAAACAAATGCATAAAATGAGTACAATTTCCACGGCCATCGAATCTTCCAATTAGCGCCCCTGTTTGAAAATACATCTTATGTAGCCCCTGCGAAATGCAAGGCAGACTTCCATTGACACTTTTCCTCTACCTCTACGAACTCCTCGGCCTCTACTGCACCAAAATCCCGTACGGTTTTCAAATTCTTGCGTCCGATTGTGACTGAGGCTTAAAGGGATAATAACTCTTTGTTTTGCCAAAAAATGAATTTTCCTGGAGTAAACAACACATTTTCCATACTTACCAATGGTTAATTAATCTATTTTTACCTTCAAAGTTAGTCCCTGTTTTTTTTCTAAACGGTTTGGTTTTTTTGTTAAAATCTCTTAAGAGATTATAATAGAGTACAGCCATCAATGGAGGTCACGTGGTCTGAAGACAAGCTCAGATATCAGAATAACAGCTGTAACTGCTGTTTTTGTGGTAAAACAGAATATATTATATTTGTACGAGTTGTTCACATTGTTTTTATTGTGAAATATAAATCTCGTTTTTGTTATGATAACACAAGTCTAAAGGTGTACTAAAGTAACTGGAAATATGGGTTAATATTTGGAATATGTGCAGAATATAAGAGGGCGTCTGAAAACCCAATTGGTACATGTATGTACGGTAAACGTGAATGTGCACTATACATGTATATTGAGTCCAGTAAAATGTCACTCATACTTAAATAACTGCAAGCAACCAAGTTCCACTGGTGGATAAGTGTTTATCAAAAGACACAAAATGTGGTCTATCACGTCCAAAATAAAGTCGTGTATGCAACGCGTACTAAGATTCTAAAATCATTTTAATTGTAATAGCGTCAATTTAGGTATTACGGTTTTTGATAAATTCTATAAGTTCAATACCTACATAGCTGGTAGTTCCAGGTACGCAACACAGAGTATAAATATTTAGATTTCATTAGATCAATGGAAACTTGTCAGAAAATTATAATTAAAAGATCAAGACATTTTTCGTGTATTCGACATGATCTCATTTCTAAGATTATAGTAATAATGTACACTTTATATTCCTTTTCACGTCTAATGCATCAAAGGTACATGAACACAAAGAAAATTGACCTGTATGGGTTAAAAACAAAATGTCCAAAAAGGACAGCAAGCATGTAGAGGTTTTCAAATTGGTCTGTTCCCCTGCATCCACAACATGTAGGTCCTCAGTCCCAAACCATGAAAACATTTCTCGCTTACATTCACAAAAAGTTTCATTCACAAAAGTGAAATACACTAAGCAGGGCTTCAAATGTCGGCTCTCTTCAGTGTTAATTCACCTCCTCTGAAATGTCTGGCAAATATACATTCTTGGATATATTCTTTTAACTATAAGAGATGAATTCGTTTTTCACTACCTTCTATGTCACATTAACAATATTTCGAACAGCATCGACACACCTGGCTTCACCTATGACATTATTTCAAGGTACAGAAGCGAAGCTTATCCTTTGATTAATACCTACAGGTGGTTAGAGTTACATACACCGCGGTCTGGCAGATTTCAGCAGAAGACACAGTTTAAGTTTTTGATGCTGACGTAGCAAATTAAATTTTGTCCACTTAACAGGGATATTACAAGGAAAACACTGGCATTCTATTGGAATATTATTTGACCTTTATCAAGAGTGTATGTGCTCCACAAAATAAGTGCGCATGCAATAGGCAAGTGCAGGTTCTACACTAAAACACTAGAGAGCATTGGCTCATCCGTGCTTTGACATTATTTATATACAGTACCCGCACCAAAACGAATTAGATACTCCAGCGCAGTAGACTACTGCAATCATTCTGCAAACATGCTTTAAATCTGCTTCGATGTGGGAGCTAATTAGAATATTTGAAACATGCTTCTATCATGCTGCTAATCTACTGCATAAATGCTCCTCCTCTGTACAACCCTATGTAATTTTTGAAGTTGAATTGCAATAGGCTATACTGCATTTCTACTGCAAATATGCTCCACACCACTACTGCCTTAATGCTTCTTTACTACTTCAATAATACTGCATTTTCAGAATGATTGCAGTAGTCTACTGCGCTGGAGTATCTACTTCGTTTTGGTGCGGGTACTGTATATAAATAATGTCAAAGCACGGATGAGCCAATGCTCTCTAGATATTTATGGGGTAGTTCCTATATTTATTTAAAAGCCTAATAAATCCTGATGTGCATTTCATCACAAGATCTGATTAATTCAAAATTTTTTAATCATAAAATTACTACTAACTGGGTAACTGTTCGTTCACTCGTAAAAACAAATCGGCAAACAAGGTGGAATATTCTACTCTCTACTTATGAACTACAGGAGAGGAGGCATAATGGCCTCTATGCTGTTTCAAACCCCGCCCATCTTTCCTCAGAGGTTCATAGTTGGGGGCCCTGCTGGCCATCCCATCCGTGTTCTGATACAAATTATCTCCAGAACTTAGACCTTCGGGTGACCTTTCACCCTGGCCTCTTTCCGATAGCTCTAGACCATGATTGACGTGACCCTGGCACCTCCTCTTTGAAGTCTCTCGGTTTCGACGCTTGAAAAAACATGTCAGCCATACGGCAAGAGTAGCGACGAATGCCACGATGGCGACAACCGCGACAGATACCGACACATTTGTGATAGTTTGAACGCTGCTGAGGTCCTTTTGGAGACTGGATATTTGAGCTGAATTGATGAAGGAGCGGTTTAAAACTTCTGTCGGGTGTTCCGTCTTTGTATTGGGTGGAGTACTTGAGATAGTGTTGCAACTTTCAAAACTTTCATCTTCCGAACTGCAATATCTCAGAATAAATGAAGTCACTGACTCACCATAAAGCTCCGTTGGTAGATAACACACTCCACTAAAACTTACCCTTGAGCCGAAAGCCATCGACAGTTCTCGAACCCAGGCCAAACGACAATCGCAAATGAAAGCATCGCTTGAAATGTAGAACATCTGAAGATGTGCCAGTAAGTTTGCAACTGTACACTTGTCAAATGTGTCAAATTTATTTCCGTTCAGGTTAAGATTTCTCAGGGATTGAGCGGAAAAAAGGATCGCGCTAACTTCGTGTATAAGATTATAATGTAGATACAGTTCCTCCATATGGTCACACTTTTGGAACGACAGCGGGTCAAGAGAAGTAATTTTATTGTTGTTCAGGATGAGTTTCTTTAACTGTGTTAGTTTGGCAAATTGACCATTATTTACTCCTCGTATTCTATTATTTCTTAAGTCAAGTTCTACCAGCTTTTCCATTCCTGATATTGCATTAGGTATGTCTGTCAATAAGGAACCCATGTAGGAAAGTCTAAGAGTCGTCAGGGACTTCTGATGGACAAGAACACCGAGAGTGGGAACAATATTGGGATTTTCACTTAGATCTAGGAATTCCAGCTTGTTCAAATTGGCGAAGACGTTGACCGGCAGAGAGTTCAGACTACAGTATCTCATGTTTAAATAGGTCAGATTTCGTAGCAAGCCAATACCTGAGGGCACTTCATAAAGCTGGTAATTACGTTCAGCCACTCCAAAGACCTGGGTAGCTGGCCGAATGACGTAACAGAACTCCGGTTTAGGTAGCAGCTTGCGAGTGACAATTTCCGAAGATTGGGTAGATGCTCCAAGGATGCTGGGATACCACTATATAGGCGGTTGTTGCCAAGCGTTAGCGACTGGAGTGATGTCAGGTAACTAAGATAGTTATATGGGTCACCAGTTATTCTGTTGTCCCAAAGGTCCAGCTCCTGTAAAGACGTTAGATATGTCAAGGCTAAGGGGACGGCGGTAATGTATGAGCTCCGAAAGAACAAAGTTTGCAGGCTGTTCTGCACACCGTTATAGAAGGCTCTTGAACTTATATAAGGATCGGTGTATCGCGTGTTCCTTATGTCTGCACGTACGATATTAGGGATATTTTGGAAAGCGCCACTGTTGATATTAAGTCTAGAACTCGATGAAAAATATTTGACTTGAAATAAATCAACCGTATCGTTCGTAGCCGTAAAATGTGAAGAATCTATATAGGATCCACTGTAAGGGTTGCAGTAGAATCTCCATTTTGTCTGTCCTTTCTCAGTATAATTTGCACAGTCTGAGCAGTGATAATTGATGGAACAGGCACCTTGGCATATTGAGGGTACTGCGACAAGCAAACTTGCACAGAAAAGGAGACTTCCGGGAACCATTTTGTTACACTGTAATGGGATGCGAAAAACATTACAATCTCGAAATAAATAAATACACAGAGTTAAAGAGGTGAAAAGATATTAGCTGTTTTCTTTAAAATGTTTTTTTACCAGTTTTTATTAGAAGCTAATAATTAGCATATGTCATCAAATAAATAGAGTAGTATATGCTAGTAGTACATGTAGTAATACTACTGGAAGAAGTATTAGTAGTGATCGATGTAGTACAAATAGCAATACTTATTTTAAAATGTAGAAATAAGTCGGCCTAGTTTCAAACATATTTGTCCTAAAACAACTGAGTGAAGCTTGTTTTAAACGTGTAAAATGCGTAGGAACAGTATTTATTTCACGAAGTAGATTACAAACATTTCACATTATACTCCACTGCGCTGGTACTCAAGCTTTTTAACAATAAAAATAATGCGTAATCTGTGTCTGTAAGTATTGTGATAGATGTGCGGACCAGCACAATGGAAGTCTAGGGAGCGGCCGATGCCCTTTTGTTCGCTAACCTGGGGCTTGGTGCGTTTACTGACGTCAAGGGTGGCCAGATCCCCTTGATGAGCGAAACCAATATTTTATTGGTCACTAAAATCCCTTTGTTTTTAGTCTCATCCGCTGATTTCGCATTTTTGTCTTTAACGTAGAGCAGTATACAGTAGTAAATTTCTCATCGAAGAAGAACAGAGGAAAGTTAGAGTAAACGAGCCAGCGAAACAATAGAAAGTAAGCACAGTAAATAATTACTACTTTATAGTTTAAAGTAAGTTTCAAGTTAACTATAGTGGTATGTAAAAGTTGCTTTACGTATGTTAAAACGTCTAGCTCCAATAAAGGGAACCGGAGAAGATCAGCATTGGTCAGAATTGTGCCGGAAGTGACGTGCAGTGGTGTTAGAAACGAAGCTGAGTGGTCATTTTAACATTGAGGTGAACGGCAGTGAAGACGGGTTGTCGGAGGAAAAAGAAGTTTTCTAAACAACATGGAAAGATAACACTTTTTCTTTACGTATTTTGGGCAGAGAAAACTTGTAGAAATAATAAATGCATGATATGAAAACGTGACACGGAACTTGAAGGTGCAAAATCGTGCTTAATTGGCGGTCAACTTGTTTTAAAATGAATGCTGCATCGACCGCCATTGCGACAAAGAGTGTAAATGGAAAATAATTC